AATGAGTAGTACAGCTTGGGTTAGCGCCTCAACAACTGTGATGCTAGATCTTATCCTGTGTGTGTCATTCTGCATCTCATATATGAGCTCCAGTGTCCCCACGCTCTTCATGGCTATTTTGTCATAATGGTGGGCACCTGTGTCGTCTTCGGTGGCTTGCGTGGCAGTATTGCAGGTTGAATTCTGTAGTGCGGTTTTGTTTATCTAGAACAGCGGTTCTCAGCCTGTGGGTCGAGGCCCCTTTGGGGGTCGAACGACCCTTTCACAGGAGTCGCCTAAGACCATCGGAAAACACATATATAATTACATATTGTTTTTGTGATGAATCACTATGCTTTAAGTATGTTCAATTTGTAACAATGAAATTGGGGGTCACCACAACATAAGGAACTGTATTAAAGGGTCGCGGCATTAAGAAGGCTGAGAACCACTGCCTTAAAGTAAACTTTGGGGCTGTTTTCCTTATTTAGGAGCTTGGTTTGTACTCAACCACCTGGCTATTCAAAATGTGGCCCACAGGCTACCCAGGAGCGGAATCTCAGGCCCACACCAGACTCTGTATCCTGGGAAACACGGACTGCATTTTAACAAGCTCTCCAAGTGATCATGTTACAGTCCGAGCAGCAGTGCCCCAGAATGTGGACCTGTAGGCAGGCAGATGGGCTTTCTAGTCATGTCTCCATCCTTTACAGTGTCTAGCTCAGCCGTTGCCACCGAAGAGATTGACTCTTGATCCAACAGTAGATCAGGGAATGTTGAGTATGAAATAAACTAACAAGTCCTGGATGAATAGCAACTGGTCCATCTTCAGCTGAATGAATGGGATGCCCAGGGCCTCCAGCACAGCACCAGGCACGTACCAGGTGCCCCGTGCATATTTCTTGAATAGGGACGACGGAAATGTTGTGTGATAGAGACATCTAGCATACTTCCCCGACATTTAAAAAGGCCAAATAATGCCAAAGCAAGCAGAACAGTGATTATGCACTTATTCTTAACACAGTTCTTAGACAAGCTCTGCTCAATTGGTTCCCCTGTGAGCTCCCACTGATTCTCTTCCCGCTCTAGCTCTCTATTGTCGTGGCTGTGTTTGCAACTCATTCTGAAACTAATTAAGTTTCAGGATCAGTTTGTCCTGTTAAGAGAGTGTGGATATGCTGAAGTAGTGGTTTTATTATAACTTAAATTATCTGAGTGAAAGTTCAATTATAATTTGATTCTAATATTGGCCAAAAGTCAGATTCCATCAAAAATAATTCTCAACAGACATTAGTCTCTGTAAAACCAGGACATTTTATGAAAGGCAACAAAGAGGATTTAAATAGGCCATGGAAAATGTATTGATAATCTGGCCATATTTTAATCCTGTTCTCTAACAGAGTGTGAAATTACTTGTTTACTTCACTTATCTGGGGCTGGAGGTAGCTCATCACTCGTTGACAGAGCCATATTTTGTGACCACCTTTTCAGCAGTGAGCTTCTGCCGGGCCAAGGCCAAACAATTTGACTTCGCTGGCCTATGTACTACTTCCAAAGTCAAGGTCAGGACTGCCGTTACCTCTCAGCAGCCAGAGGAACTCATGAACGCCAATGTATCTGGTCAGGGCTTTGATCTGTGCATGGACAGGGAGATCAGCCAGGAGTAACTGTAAAATGTTGGGAGCTTTATTTTCAGTATCGCCACATTTCTTTCCTGTACCATATTCCCCCAGAAGTGAGGGTTACCGTATTTGCCGGCGTATAAGACGATTTTTTGGCCCTGAAAAATATGCCTCCAAGTGGGGGGTCGTCTTATACGCCAGGTACACTTCAGATAGACTGCCCATAGTGCTTGCCCTGTGCCATAGTGGCCTCCCGATGCCCGCCCACTTCATTCCACATACCGTTCAGGCATCAGCAGCGCTGCTGGGTGTATGCTCGGCTGTTATGCGATTTTGCGAGTGTGGTAAATTCGGGTTACCGTATATTTCTTTACATATGCATTGAAGATTCGCGATTTTGCGCTATCATGGTGCCTGTTAGAATGTTGAAGAGCTCGCACTTGCGCACTAGTGAGGTCCCAGGGAGATGCTGATGCAAGGGTGGACCAGACTGCTATAGTGACAGGGCGGGCAAACAGGGAGCAGGGACCAATCAAATCAGGCTTTGTATACAGCCAACAGCCAACCACAATACTGCCCCATTGTACAGTACAGCATAGAAAATGTCGACCAGTCAAACCCCTATCATCCCTATCATGGCACCAAGATGTCGTTGATGAACTTTTAATATCAGATGATGCAGAGGAGTTTGAAGGCTTTTAAGGTGAAACTGTCACGCCAGCAAACTTGCTAGGGACTTGCCCGGCACTTGCTCTCTCCCTCTATTTGTTATCTTACTTCTATCATTGACAGTCCCTCTAGGTTGTGGGCTGCTTGCCTGTGTTCCTGAGAAGCATCTACGGTACCAGTCTATAGAGTGTGTTTTCTTTAGTGAATTACCGGTATGTTTACCGGTAATAAACTTGCACTGTTTTATGTATATGTTTGATTACATACAGCCTTGTGACAGTTTTCCTGCATGTCATAAGCATTTGAATATAAATTAAAATGTTAAAATCAAATCTGATATTGTTTTACCTTTTATTTGGTGTGTGGAAGGTGTGCGGAAGAGGGGGTAGTCTTATACGGCGAGTATATAACAAACTCTATATTTTGAGTGGAAATGTTAGGGGGTCGTCTTATACGCCCAGTCGTCTTATACGCCGGCAAATACGGTATGTTGTTTCATCATTAGTCTACTGTATTCAAGTTGAACACTACTGGGGATGCAGTAAAGTATGAGAAGTCCCTGACGTAAAGGAGTTCCATATATATATTCAGAGACTAACCACTGTGGTAAAATAGACCATGTTGATATTCTACCCAGATCCTCTTTATCAAGTTAGTGCACTCACCTCTCATGGCTGTAATGCTAGCTGCTAATGGCTCACAGCTGCCCCTTTCTGGAGAATTGACTGATTCCTCTCAGCCAATGGAGGTGGGGGGACCTAAGAGGTTCTGCCTCCCTAGCATGACTGATTGACATGGGCTACGAGAGTCTGGACCCTTTCCTTACGGTGGGACCAACCCATGGCACAATTCATGCTCCAGAGCTTCCCTTGGACTGAAGGGACTCCACACTGAAGCTGGACTCCTGCTGAGAGCACCTCCTTACTCCCTTCGCTTCCTTTCTGTCCCCTGTTCAATTGATCGAGTGTATCCGAATCTTCTCTAGAATGCTCAGCTTAAACCTTGCAGAAGCTATCATGGTCTTAAGCCTGGAAGAGCAAAGGAGGAAACATCCCAAAGTGCCGTGAGAGCTGGACCCTGGGAGATAGGGTTGCCTGACAGGACCTGGGTCATGTAGGGACTTGGCCACTGCTAATGGTCAGGGTAGGAATTGGGGAAAAAATATGGGTGCTGTAGGCCCACCATCCTTAACTCATCAAGTGCTCAGTGTTTGAAATCATCAAAGTAGGCACACTGGGTTCCAAGACCCTTCGAATTGATGAGGCTGCTGTTACAGAGTTCTAAACAGTTTTCTCTCTCCTCTTTTCTCTGGGTATGCACCCCTTTAGGCAAAACTAACAGGTGTCTTAGTTCATCTAAGCAGCTCTAACAAAATACCACAGACTGAGTAGCTTTATAAACAATAGAATTTTATTGCTACAATTCTGGAGGCTGGAAGTTCAAGATCAAGGTCCTCTTCTGGAACACAGACTTTTCACTGTATCCTCATATGGTTGAAGGGCCTGGGGAGCTCTGTGGGTCTCCTTTATAAGAGCTCTAAGCCCATTCATGAGGGTTCCACCCTTAAGACCCAATCACCCCCCAAAGGCTCTTCCTTCTAATACCACCACCTTCAAGGGTTAGGATTTCAACATTTGAATCTTGAGGGGTCACAAATATTCAGGCCATAGCAACAGGAAACTAGCCAACAATGAGCTGGCAGTCAATAGAGGGATTATCGTCATTTTGTAGATGATGAGATTCCACTGTAGGGGACGAATGCCTTATGAGCTTGGAGAAGCCATTGCAGGTTTTCCAGCGAATCTATAAGGAAACAGAATTCCATAAGAAAGATATTGAATTTTGCTTCTGAAAGACTCTTTCAATGTCCTTACAGGTCAGTCCTCCTCAGAGGGAGGGCCATGTTGATGGCCTCTGGGGGCCCCTGTAGCCCTGGCCCTCCTGGTACAAAGTGCTGTTGAAAGGTTATCACGTGGAGATGGGGAGGGGCCCTGCAGAGCTCATTTGTGGCCGTTGTTCCCATGAGTCCAGAACCAGAGGCTCTGAGTTTTTTCTCTCACACATAGTCATCCTCTTGCTCCATGCCCGCCCCCCACCCCGCTTTGATTCTGAATCTCAATGTTGCAGGTAGGAGCTGGAAGGGAAAGGGGAGCATGGACTTGGGCACTTGGGGCAGGAAATCAGATCCAGGGCCTCTCTCTTGGAGCTGGTTTGCTGAAAAGGCATCTTGAGAAGGTGGACCAGGGCTTAGGGAAGGGACATTGGGACGTTTCTTCAGGCGGGGCAACCTACATCTCTGCCATCATACAGAAGGTCAAACTTGGAAAGTGATTAAATTGATTAGCCAACAAACCTGTACAATTTCCCACAATCGATGCCCTTAATATACAATCAGATTACAGATTGTAGTCTATTGCATTGATTCATTCATGTTATTTCACAGGCTAAAATTTTTTACTATGCAAAGGTATGCAAATCGTATAGGAAAATAGTGTTCTTAGCCAAGTACACCAACACCTGTTGAGTGCTTTTTTTTTCTTTTTTTTTCCTGCTTTCTGTTTGTTTTGTTTGTTTACTTCAGTGGCACTATACCACTGGGGTGGGGCATGAGATAGTAAATATAGTCAGTGTTTGAACAAATTTCCTAAGTGGTGATTGAGAGGAGTTATCCTTTGACAAATATTGCGCTGATCGGCATGTCTCTTTTCCTCTCTTTCTTGCCCAAAACAGAATGAAGAAGATGAGCAACATTTACGAGTCGGCGGCCAACACGCTGGGGATCTTTAACAGCCCCTGCCTGACCAAAGTGGAGCTGCGTGTGGCCTGCAAGGGCATTTCCGACAGAGATGCCCTCTCCAAACCAGACCCCTGCGTCATCCTCAAGATGCAGTCGCACGGGCAGTGGTTCGAGGTAGGCATGTCCAAGCCTTCCCGCCCTCCGGTGGTTTAATTTGATGAGATGAAAAATTCTGGAAATGAAGATGATGGTGATTCTTCTTGAATCGTGAGGTTTGGATGTGGCTGTTTCTGAGCTGTGGGTATTTTGACATTGGCCCTTCGTTTGTGTGCTCCTGGTGGACATAGTGGCCCCTGAGGATGGGCAGGGAGGACTGCCTCACAGGGACCACATCACACCACATTTGTTTTTTATTTTTTGAGAGAGAACTTAATATTAGCTAAACTGGAATGGGTACTTATCAAGTGTCAGGTACTGTTCCAAGAGCTTTACGTAGAAATAACTCACTTATTCCTTGCGACAATCCTCGGGGGAAGCAGAGACAGACCGGTTAAGGCTTTGTCCAGGATCATTCAGTTTGGAAGTGGAAAATCTCATATTTGCACCCAGGAACCTGAGCTCCAGTGTCCCCACGCTCTTCATGGCTATTTTGTCATAATGGTGGGCACCTGTGTCGTCTTCGGTGGCTTACGTGGCAGTATTGCAGGTTGAATTCTGCAGTGTGGTTTTGTTTATCTAGAACAGCGGTTCTCAACCTGTGGGTCGCAACCCCTTTGGGGGTCGAACGACCCTGTCACAGAGGTCGCCTAAGACCATCGGAAAACACATATATAATTGCATATTGTTTTTGTGATGAATCACTATGCTTTAGTTATGTTCAATTTGTAACAATGAAAATACATCCTGCCTATCAGATCTGTACATTATGATTCATAACAGTAGCAAAATTACAGTTATGAGGTAGCAACGAAAATAATTTTATGGTTGGGGGTCACCACAACATGAGGAACTGTATTAAAGGGTCGCGGCATTAGGAAGGTTGAGAACCACTGATCTAGACGTTGAGACAAATTGGATGAGGACTGGCTTTTAGGTTTTTCGTGTTTTTTTTTTTTTTTTTCTTTTTCACTTCTAGGTACCTAAATAAGCTGTGCTTTAAGAGATCAGGTCTGAAGAGAATGGGGGATGGGGAGGGGCAGGGGTGCAGCAGAGTCAGCAGCTGTTACCCTCTCTAAGGGAACCAGAGAGTTGGTGAAGTGTGGATACAGGTTTGAAGCCATGCTGAGTCAAGAAAGAGGAGACTGTTACCTGGACTGTTACCTGTCCAGGACAAGCTCTTTTAAGGCTCCTATACTTCTCCCACCTGTTTGCAAATCAGGTGCCCCTCTGGGGGACAGGGGCAAAGTCTTCCACTTCACAGTAGAACGAAGGCTCCAGAGGTCCTAGAAGTAGCACATTGGCTTATTAGTACCTAAGTGGTAAGAGCCAGTCCTCCCAAAGGGAGGTGAGATGCAGGTTGGTGAGCAGATGTATTGAGGTGAGTAGGTTCGTGCATGGGGGGATGACAGATGGGCAAGTTGGGGATCTTACTTTAACTTCAGGCATATCCAGGTCTTATACTGTAAACTAAAACCGCATTCACAGGTCACCTTAATGTGTAATAGATATGTTTTTCCCTTCTAAATATCCTCATTAACTTTGTTAGTGGGTTTCATTGTTTTTCATGGACAAAACTACGTGGAATTTCTACATCAGAAAAAGGTCACTCTTTGAAAATCAGAGAAAAAAAGTTCATCTCCTAATACCCTCTTTACATAATTCAGTAATTGTTTGTACATACTTATTTTCAGTGTTATCATGCATGTAGTTTTCTTTCCTGATTTTTTATTACCCAGTAGCATATGTGTTTCCCCACAGTGCTATAATACTCATAATTTTCAAGGCTGCATGAAATGCCATCAAATGGGTTTAAAGAATTATTTTTCTATCTTTTCACTTTGAAGTTGCTTCACAAAAATACCCTATTTTCAATGATGCTGCAATGGATATCCTGGCACATTTGGATTTGCCCTCCTTTTGGGATGAGTCCCTAGGAGAGATTCTGTCAGAGTGGACCTCGGGGACAAGGACGGGGCCATTGTGGGCCTTTTGATACGTGCTGCCAAATAGCTTTTCCAAAGTGCTCTATTACAGTGTGGCCTGCACACCGCTCCCGCTCCCGTCCACAGACCTTTTGTCACTCATGCGCAGTGAGACAAGAGACTTGTGCCACAATGTGTATTGATTCACTGCTTCCCTCCCCTAGAAAGTCTTAGCTCTTTAAAAACAGTGAAGTCGGCTGAACCTCCAGCAGGCTTAGTGATGTGGCTGATTGTTATTCCGGCACTTGGAGAAGCTCTTCTCTAATCAGTTTTACACTCTTCACAACACACATTCAGGATTCAGTCTGAATAACTGAGCCTGTGCCAGGTAACCAATAGGATTTAACCCAGGTCACTAACTAGTACCAAAGAGGTTGGAAATGCAGAGAAGCTAAGAGGGACTGTGCGGGAACCCAGAGACTAACCGTAGGCACCTGCTGCTTTGCTCAGGGGGTGTGCTAACACCAGCTTGTACGGGCTTGTGAGTGTCCAGCTATTAAATACTCAGGAATTTTGCAAGCCTGAGAGAGTGGGAGTCTCTACTACACCACAGACAAGGGCAACATT